GTTCCTGCAGAAGTCCCTGGCTGCCGCCGCCGGGAAGCAGGTGAGAGCCCCGCGACGGGGCGGACACCGCGGGTACCCCTCGGGCACTGCTCCTGCTCCTCCTCCAGACTCCCCTGATTCCCCGCTGTAGAGCCTCCACTCCCCAGCAGAGCCCCTAGCATCCCTGTTGCAGAGCCCTCCAGTTCTCCACCAGACACTCCAGTACCCTCCGTGCAGACCTCCAGTCCCTCACCGGACTTCCCCAATGTCCCTGTTTCAGATGCCCAGTTCCCTGATGCAGAACCCCATTCCTTGAGAGATCCCCTGATTCCCTGTCGCAGCTGAGCCAGTGACAGGCTGGGCAACTGGGCTTGGGAGGGGACACAGCCCGGCTGGGTGCTGCTGGGGAATGAGGAGCAGGTTCTACTGGGGCAGGGGCCATGGAGCTCTCCAGGTTTTCTCTGGTCACTGAATGAAGGCAGCTGCCCTAGGGCATAGGAGAATGTCCTTATCCATGCAGGGGAACAGTCAAGGCTTGGAGGGACAAGAAGAAAAATAAGTTCCAGTGAAATAGTGACCTGACTCAACCTCCTCTGCCAGCTCCCCCAAAGATCTTTTCCATGTCACTTTAGCAGCAGCCTCGCAGCATCCTCACTGAGTCCAGCACTGTGTGCTGGAGCAGTGGAAAGGTAAAGGAAGGTGATATGGGTCTTGAATGAGTTCATTCCCTGTCATAGCCAGGACAGCAGTCTCTTCCCCACACTAGGTAGATGTCAGCACTTTTCTGCTCTCCTTTATTTCATAGACGCAGCTGCTGCATAGCAGCTGTCGGGCTGAGCTCCTTGGAAAGCCGAGGCTCCCCTTCTCCTCCAGCCTCCTGAATGTCTCTAATCTGGGCATAAAGGTGTCTTAGAGGGACAGAGTGGTGAGCCCCTGAAAACCAAGGAGTAATTGTGGTCTCTCTATCTCTCCCTTTCTTTCTCTTGTCCCCCAAGGAACTGGCCAAGTACTTTTTGGCAGAACTGCTCTCAGAGCCAAGCCAGACAGAAAATGAAGCCCTGGAGTCTGAGGACTTGTCCCGAGGTGCTGAGCAGGATGAAGTGAGACTGGAGCTGGAGCGCTCGGCTAACTCAAACCCCGCTCTGGCACCCCGGGAACGCAAAGCAGGCTGCAAGAACTTCTTCTGGAAAACTTTCACATCCTGTTAGCTTTTGAAACCCACCTCTCCTCCCCATCCATCCCTGCCTTCTTCCTAGCCCCCTGCCCTGAGCAGAACCTTCACCACAAGAGGCGAAGACTGTAAATACACAATCCACGGTTATGGTGAAATTAAAAAATCAAGGAAAATTTGAGTTTGATTTCCACTTGTTTTAATAAAACTTTCTGTTCCAATTGTACATGATTTGCTTGAGTTGTGATTTCTGACTAGTTCTTTAATGACATGCACTCTGCAACTCTTTCAGATGTACTATTTTTAATCCTCTGTTGCAATAAAGTTTATGTTTCAAACAGTGTGGCTGAGGCTCAGTGGTCAATGAGAAAACCTAAGTTACCTCTCAGGCTGCTCGTCTTCGAAATGCCAGTGGTTTCAGGGCAGCATCAGCAAACACCATCCACATTCACGCATATGTACACACACAGAGTATCTCTCAATGTGATCTTTTTCCTGTGGTCTTACTAAAAGGCCTAGAGCCACAGCAGTATTTTAGCTATCACATCTCTGTAGCTGTGGCTCAATCAAATCCACAGCGCTGGCACTTCTAGTCAGACTAAAGGATTTACACCAGAGACATCACTGTAAATCACATCTGTGTATTCCAAGTGATGGGGATGATAAAAGTAGTTCACTGTACAAGCTTACACCACAAATGCCTCATTCCCTTCTCAGTCACAAACACTAAAAGGTTTTCTTACCTGGCATATTTTACTCCTTGCAGCATTCCCACAAACACTGCTTCTGGGATTCCTTCAGAAAGTTTTCCTTTGTTCGGCTGTGCAGAAGGAGGTTTCACATCCCTGCGGAGCTGAGATGTTAACCCCATGACATCAGCCCCTCTCCATCTAATAAATGGTCACAGCAGTTTTTCTATCCACCTCAGCATAATTCAATATTAAA